CTGGTGCTAAGCACTAGGCCAGTGAGATAATGTTTATTCACTCGTACTAGTTGATACTGAACTGAAGTGCTAGCTTGTGCAATAAGGTAAGAAAAATAAGAGCCACAGTAGGGGGGAAAGTAGCTAATCCATAGTAGACCTACTAAGAACTTTATAAAGAAATTACATAGTATGTTATGAGATGATAGTGCTGTGGGAAAATAGAGCAGAATAAGGGGGATCAGGAGTCCTGAGGGGCTAGCAACTTAAAACAGAGATGCAAGAGAGAACCACCAGGAGAAATGCCTGAAAAGTGAGATATGAGCAAAGACTTGATGGATGTAAGGGGCCTTATTTAAGGCCCCTTATTATTTAAGGGGAAAAGGTTCCCAAGCAGCAAGAACAGCAAGTGCAAAGGCCCTAAGGCTGGACCGTGCCTGGTGTGTCCAGAAACAGACAAGAGGCCAGTGTGGAGTGAGCCAGGGGTAAAGTGAGAGGAGGTTAAGACAGAAAGGTGACTAGGCACATGTGCTGGACTGTTGAGGACGTTGACCGTTCCTCTGAATAAGATGAGAGCTATGCAGGACGTTGAGCACAGGAGGGACATGAGCTCTCTTGGGTTCTAACAGGTTCCCACAGGCTCAAATTTTAGCAGCATTTATTAAGCACTTACTGAGTGCCAGACACTATTCTGTGAGAATTCAATATGGTCTGATCTCATTTCATTCTCACATGGACCCCGTAGAAGTTATTATTTCATTTTGCAGAAGACAAACTGAAGAGTTTGTCACTGAGCCACAGCCACATAGCCGTAATTTGCAGCGCCTGGGTGAGAAGGTGAAGTGAGCCAGACTTCCCCTCCCCCATGCTTTTAGACAAGGATCACCGGCAGTAGAGCGCACTCAGCATCCGGAGCTGCGTCTGTGTTCCTGTCTGTTTCTATTTCCACGCGTCCCTGTCTGTCTCCGCGCGCCTCTGCCTGCGCGTCCCCCATCTGTGCCCAAGCCGCCGTCTTTCTGCGCCCGGCCCCCGCATATCAGAGCTATTTCGGGTTTAGGCTTAAAAGCCCAACTGCTCGGAGGAGACGCTTCCTCCGGCCCCCGGCTCGGACCACGCGCCACACGCGGCAGGCTCTGGGAGCTCCCGGTCTTCTGCTCGGAATCCCCAACCTGGGGTTAGCCCCTGCGGGAGGAAGGATGGGGGGTGCTGGGGCGACCCCACCCGCGAGGCTCCAGGTCCCCCAGTGGCCAGCCCCTGCACTGACGCTGTCGGGAGCCTGGCTATGCGTCAACTGTCGCTTTGGTAACGGGTGACGACGTCACAGACAGGCAATGCGTCAGCAGCGTGCTGACGTCACGCCCCGGGAGAGGCAATTGACCAGGGGCGGGGACGGATTCCAGGCCCCGCCGGCAGGGGGAGCCCCAGGACACTAATGGTGGATGCCTTTGGCTTGGTCCTGCAGGAGGCGCTGGCCTGGGCCGACATGGTCCCCGTAACCTTCACAGCGCACTAGGCTGGCAGAATGAAGAGGAGTCGCAGTGTCCTGTCAGTGGCTGGGACCGGGGAAGAGGTGCGAGGGGCGGGGCCCGGGCTGGGGGCGGGGCTTGGGCCATGTAGAAGGCGGGCGCCCTCTAGTGACGGCGGCTGTTCACTAAGTGGCCGCGAGGAGTCGTCTCCTTGTGCCTCAGTTTGCTCCTTTGATTCCATTACTTTCCTGCCGCCAGGATTAAGAGGCCCTCCTCAGCCTAGGAGTTGGAGGCAGGGTCTCTCAAGGGGCTTCCGAAGTCAGGAAAGGATTGTAGGCGGAGCTGCAGGTGAGGTCTCGAGGGTTTCAGATGTGAGACGGGGCCACCGACATTAAGACCAACGGGGGGCTTCTTAGACTTGGAGGATGGGAAGAGACCCTGAAAAGGTGATGTGTTTAGAGGGATCTCATATCCGGGACAGAATGTACAGGCATGGGGGCCCAGAGCCCCAGGGCTGGGACATGAGGGAGCCCTACAAAAATTATGGCTGAGAAGGAGCACCCCTCAAATATAAGGGGTGGGAAGACACCCTCTATAGGAGGGATCAGCGAGTGGCTCAGACTTGAGAGGGGACATAAGGAGCCCATACCCCCATCAGCCTCTCTTAAATGGCTAAGGAGTGTCATTACTGGGGGAGGAGCTCACAGCTGCCTGTCCAGGCTGCACACCCATCCTGCCTCTGTCCCTCCTTAGAGGCCGGGGGAGACCCCTGAACCCAGCCATGCCAACATGTTGGGGACCGAGCTCCGACGCCCTCGCCGTCGCCTCTCCACTGGTCCGGGCCTGGGCTGGGTGGACCCTGAGCCCTCGGATGCTGGGGTCCTTCTGCTGCCACGGCCCACCACATTGCCACTTCTCATCCCTCCGAGGATTTCCATCACCAGAGCCGACAGGTAGGCAAGAGAGGGGACGAGGCTGGGAGATGGGGTGGAGGAACAAGGCCAGTTGGGCTAGGTCCACCAGCCCTTTCTGTGCTCCAGACGCCCTGTGTTTTGCAAAACCAGCTGAAACTTCTCTGGGAGCCTGATGGGTCAGGCTGTGACACCCCTCCCCCAAGGTGCCCCTTGCAGCCTCTACAAACCCTTTCTTCAATTTTGCAGCTGAGTCAGTAAGTGGCAGAGTTGTGGAAAAGAGTTTCAGCTTCTCAGTCCCAAATGGTGCCCCCATATTCAGAGAACTGGGCCAGGTTAGGGAGCAAGCATCTGGTCTGCTGTGTGCCTTAGTTTCCCCTCCTGGGAGGATTCTGTTTCTTCCAGGATTTAAAGGGGTGAGTGAGATCTTGGAGGAGGTCTGGACTGGCATTTTTCTTTCTCCTGGGGAGATGTGACAGATCTGTGAGCCTTTACATTGCATTTTCTTGCTATTTCTCATCAGGGTCTTGCCAAGGCACTCCAACCCCATTCTTGGCCCAAGGATGTGTTCAAAAGCCTGACAGCTGAGCTGGTCATGGCTGCTGGACCACCCCTGGCCCCACTGCCCTCCCTAGGTCACTGTTCTCTGAAGCCTCTGATTTACCCACCCCCTCATCTACTCAGCTGGAGGGCTCCAGAGTCTCTGCTTGGGTCATGGTACAATGATGATTCATTAAAAAGTGGGGAGAGGAAGTGATTGTCATTCCCACCCCTGGCGGTCTAATGTAACCCAACCCCTCCCCCCCCCAAAAAAAAACCCTCTAGCCTCTGCAACTTCAGGTCCAGCCTGATCCATCCCAGCTTCAGGCCACAGCTCCAACTACCAGCCGGGCTTACTGCCTTGTGCCCTCCTTCTTCTGGAACCTCCCTGTGGCCAGATACCCACCCCCACCCCCCCACACCCACATTCCTTGTTGCCTATCCAGAGCACATACCCCAAGACTGGCCCAGTCCAGAACCCTCAATTGATCTAGGGAGGATTAGCAGCCCTTGCAAATCCCCTAGAAGCCAAGATAAGTGTGTACTTTAGGGAGGGTCCCTGAGAGAAGTGAGGGTCACGCTTCTGCCCTCTGAGATACCCTGCGGCTGCTGATGGGAGGCTGGTTCTTGCTCCACGTTCTCCCACGCCTGGAGCCCCCTCTGGCGGAGAGAAAAGCGGCTGTGGGGGCTGGAGAAGGATTTTTTTTTTTTTTTATAAGAACAGGGCGGGGAGGCGGAGGGGGGATTGGAGGGTAGGCGGTGGCAGACGACTCGGCCTGCCCTGGGAGGACAGTACTGGGGAGCAGCGGGGCGAGGGCCTGCATCCGCGGACACGCACCCGAGCGGGTTAGCGTCTGAGAGCCTGGGCCGGGAGAGTGGAGCTCCCCCTGCCCAGTCGCCACCAGGGCTCCGCCCCGGCCGGGGCCCTGGCCGGGGCGGGGCGCAGAGAGGGAGTCCTCGAATCCGCTCACTCTGCTTGCTCGCTCGGCGCGGCGCTGGGGGAGGCGGGAGCGTGAGTCACGGCGACTCCCGATTTAGGTGCCGAAAGGGGGGCTCTGCCGGCGGAGGCAGCGAGGAGGAGGCGCGGCTGTTTACTCGCCTGTAAAGGGCACAGGGATGCGTCCGGCGGTTTCAGGGGACCTGCCTCAGTTTACCTCCTGCAGAAGCATTTTAGAAGAGGCAGCGAAGCATAGAGCTGTGGACCAGCAGCTAGGGTATCAGCTATGGGTATCCTCCTGGAGCCACAGGGGAACCAAAGAAACGCATTAGAAACACTCCATGGTGGCCCCAGGCCAACCACACACACACCAACACGCATGGACTCCTTCAGACACGACAGTCAAACAACGGAGGCTGAATCGCGTGCACAACTCAGCAAGCACCGACAGACCACGGTGCGCACCCAAAGGCATGAGAGCACATGCACAGCCCCCAGGCCAGCGGAACAGACCCCGAAGAAGCGCATACCTCCCGAACAGGCAGCACAGGAGCGCACAAATCCTTCACCCGCAGACACACATACAGCGAAACCCAGAGAAACAGGCAGACCGCGGCAGCCAACCACGTGCGCACACACACTTCCAGGACACCAAAAACACATACAGCCCTCGGAAGGGGCCACGTGCACGCATACCCCACCCCGGGCACACACCATCACCATCCTCCGACCTACCGACAGGAGAACCCCAGCACATCACCGCTGCCCGCCGCAGGGACCGCGTCCATGGCACCAGGACCACTTCCCACACGTTCCCGCTGGCCTGGGGTAGCAGCGAGGACACGCCAGCACCCGGCTCCGCCCCCGCCATGATGGAAGGACTGACTGACACACGGGCAACCAGTCGGGTGTCATCTTCTAGATCGGATTAACCGTTTAACTCCTTTGTGCCCGTGCGCATCGCTGCTAGACAGGGCGCTCTGGAGAGAGTAGCGTTCCGGCGCCCCCTCCCCGCCAGGAGCGGGTCTCTGCGTGGGCGGGAAGGGCCCCCCCATCCTTAGGTGGCTGCCCCCCACTAGCCGGGACCGAGAAGGAGGGGGGCGGCGCTGACAGCCGCGGCGGGCGTGGGGCGGGGAGGGGCGGGACGGGGCGGAGGAGCGGGTGCTGGCTCCGAGCTGGGCTCCAAGCGCGGAGAGCGCTGCCGGGCACCGAGCAGAGCATCAGGCACCGGCAGGAAGCCTCCGCGCCCGGCCCGGGGGCGATCGGCCTGTAGCGCCCCCGGGTCTATCCGCGGGGCGCCATGGCCCCACCGAGGCCGGACGCACTCGCGGGGCCTCGGGCGTGTCGACTCCCGCGCAGCTGAGTAGGGAGCAGTTTGGAGAGCCGGGACCCCCTGGGGTGCAAGTGGGGGCCGGCGCCATGGAGCCCCCGGCCGCCCCCTCGGAGAGGAGCATGTCTCTGTCTCTGCCCGGGCCCCGAGAGGGCCAGGCTACCCTGAAGCCGCCCCCCCAGCACCTGTGGCGGCAGCCGCGGACCCCCATCCGTATCCAGCAGCGCGGTTACTCCGACAGCGCGGAGCGCGCGGAGCCGGAGCGGCAGCCACACCGGCCCATAGAGCGCGCCGACGCTGTGGACACCGGCGACCGGCCCGGCTTGCGCACGTCCCGCATGTCCTGGCCCTCGTCTTTCCACGGCACCGGCACAGGCAGCGGCAGCGCGGGTGGAGGCAGCTGCAGGCGGTAAGACTCCAGGCAGCCGACGCGCGCGGAGCGGATAGGCGCGCGGGGAGGATGCAACTCTCCCCGCTGACCGCAGGGGGCGCTGTGATGCGGGTGGGATCGGTGAGACTGGCAGCGGTGAGGGCTGGGGGTAGTTCTACTGCGGGGGCATCGGGGCCTCTGCCCCTGGTGGTGCACTGTACCCGAGCCTTCCTACTGAAGTTGATCCTGGGGTTGACTTAAGAGGCGCCATGATGCGTGTGGTATTAACGGGTTGAGGGCTGCAGCTTTAGGGGTCGAGGGCTGCAGCTTTAGGGGTCTATAGCCTTAGTCGGTGACAGTACAAGGCAGTGGCTAGGCTGGATACCACTTCAAGGGACTTTCCTGGAAGCACTGTATTGAAAGCTAGATTCGCTGTGTTTGGGAATGTCCTAGGGGGAGCTCTGTGTTGTGGGGAGAGGGATGCCTACTAGGACCTAGTGTTTCCTTTAGGCTGAGGGCTCTCGGGGTCCTTCCAAGGGGTGGAAGACTGCATGGAAATGGGGGGGGGGCGCATTCATGGACTCGTCGTGCAGCAGATAGGATCAGAAATCCAGAGAGGGCCTCTTTGGGGAGCACTGTGTTGGGGGCCTTGTGCTGGGTGGAGCCCCCTTCTTAGGGCAGGAGAGTTAAGGTGCAGTAGCTGCACAGTCTCAGGATGAAGAAGTCCCTGCCTCCCCAGGTGACAGTGTTAGTGAGGGGCTGTTTGGGCTGGCCCTGACTATTTTCTTTCTGGCCTCAGTTCACTCTAGCTGTTGGGGTATGACCAGCTGTGGCTGCCTCGGCTGTGTGCTCTGCCTGAGCTTTTGAGGTCCTGTGATTGTAACATGGGGGACTGTGTATGCTTCAGGGAGAGCGACTGTGGCAGTGGGAAAGTGTATGCTCCTAGGATGGTGATTTTGTGACTGCGTGCTTCTGGGACAATAGTCATGACAGTGACTGTGTGTGCTACCAGAATACTGTGACGATGTGGCTGTATGTGCTCCCAGGATGCTGTGATTGTGCCACTGACTGTATGTGTTGTTGGGATGCCATGATTGTGACAGAGTGACTGTTTCTGCTCCCAGGAGAGTGATTATGACAGTGAATGTATGTGCTCCCAGGACAGTGATTGGGACAGTAACTGTAAGTGTTGCTGGGTGATCATTATAGTGACCATGTGTGATACTGGGACAGTGATTATGACAGTGTGCATTCTTGGGATGTGGCGATGGTACCACTGCGATGTGTACGTTCCCAGGACAATGTGATTGTGTCAGCAGGACTATCTGTTCTCCCTAGGACACTGAGATTGAGACACTGTGATGTGCTCTCAGCTGCCTATATGCCCTGTGCCTGAGAGTCAGTACTGTGACTTTTGAGGTGTTCCTGTGTGCCTGGTGTGCTGGCCCCTAACCACCTGGTGCTCCAGTGGTGCTAGAGGTCTGACTGTATATGCTCTGGTGATGTAACTGATGGCTTTTGACTGTGTGCTTTGCCTGCCCCCCATGGATACCCCTCTGCTTGAGACATCACTAAGACAGATTTGGGCCTCTCACTCCTGGAGTTCCCAAGGAAGGCTCCTCTAGACTGTGACCCTAATACACCAGCTCTGGGGCCCTCCAGCAGGTACCACAGCCCCCCAGGCCACTTCCATCCACCTCCATTCGGGGTACACCCAGCCCCAACACCCCTTCCCCCACCAGGAAGCCTGCTATTTCCCAGAGGGAACTGGAGAGAAGCTGAAGGAAAACAAATTGGAATCAACAGGAAATGCCAAGACCAAGGGCAATGTGCCAGGTCACTGTTCTGAGAGACCAGAGCGGGGGTAATATGCAATAGGAACTGGGCTCAGATCCCTGCTAAGGCCCCAGGTACTCCCCCTAGCCCGGTCTCTGGGGTGCTAACTCTCAGGGTACAGTGGCTGAGTGGTGATAATCATCATTATCTTAGTGGCATCCATCTCCTAATGGCGCACTCTCAGGCTCCACGTGGGGGACTCTTCCACATGTCCTCATCCCCAGGACCCCATGAGGTATTTCTGTTGGATAGATGGGGAAACAGGCTCAGAGGGACGAAGTCCCTTCTCACCCAAGCTCGCACAACCAGGAAATGGCAGAGCCGAATTCCCAACACAGGTCTATCTGTTACCTGTGCCTCCTGGCACAAGTGTCTTGTCCTCTCTGAACCTCAGTTTCCCCATCTGTAAAGTGGAGCTGTTATCAGCCCTACCCTGTGGGTTTGAGAGTTTCGTGAGATTGGGGATGTGTGTAAAGGACTTAACACAGTGAGTGCTCAGTAGCTTAGTCACTCATAGACCTGGATTTAGGAGAGGAGGCGGAGCCTGCAGAGACCCTGTTCCTCCAGGATGGGAAGGAAAAAACAGGAACCTCAACCACATCCCGGCAGAGGCTCAGGTTTCTGTTTCACTGTGGCCTGTGTTGCCTACAGGGGCTGTGGTGGGAGGGAGGGCATTGGTGCCAGCGTCCTCCCCCTGCTCCCAGGCAGAAGAAGAAAGGGGAACTGAAAGGCCTCCAATGGGAACCTCACTTTTTAGAATGGGCATTCTGCCAGCCCAGTTCTCCATCAGGGGGTTCTTTCAGTACACACACAGGGGGTTCCAGCACTTCCCACGATGGAGTTTATGCAGCTCCCATAAAGGGAGTCCAGAGAGCCCTCCAGACTTGAGTCACAGGAATCCCCAGAGAGAGGGCACTGCCCCCCATTCGAGAAGGCATCCGCAGCCCCCTTCCAGACCTGGGGATGTATGAGCCTGCGCTCCTGGCGCCCTGCGGGGCTGAGTCACGGCACCACCACGATTTGTCAAGAGGCAGATGGAGCACAAGGAAGAGAAGGACTTTGGTGGTGAGGTGGGGGGGCTTGCCTTAACTGGGAGCGGGGCCAACGTATCGACCCCACCTACCCCGCCTCCCTTTGGACCCCTAAACTCTCCCCAGCCTGACTGGGATATCTCTCTGGCTGGTGGTCTCTGTCCCCACTTAAATCCTCGCCTCCCCTTTTTTCTGGCCCTCCCTTCTCCCTTCCCTGAGCGGGTGTCTCCGCGCGCCCCCTGCTGGGCGACGAAAAAGGTACAGGTTGAGGGTGCGCTCCGAGTCCGGACTTGCCTCTGGGACTCGTCCCCGAGCAGAGCAAAGTCGCCGCCGCTGCCACTACCACGGCGCCTAGTATTATTATTTCATGTTTATTGAACGCCTCGGAATGCGGGCGCCAGGCCGGCCGACCGCAGGCTGCGGGTGAGGTCTGCGCCTTCCCCAGGTGGGCTGGGACCAGGCCGCCACCCCCACCCTCTACCCGCCATTCAAACGCGGTGAGACGGCGCCTGGCGGATGGAGAGGAACTCTGCAGAAAAGTTGTGGACGCGGAGTTCCCTTCTGGCCTCCGCGGGCTTGCCCATGCCAGGGCCTCCCAACACCAACCTGCGTTTTAACTCCCAACATCTTTAGCTTTCCATCTTTGCCGAGGAAACAGAGACGAAGTGGCTTGCCCGAGATCACACAGCCAAGAAGAGCAGAATTGGGGTTAAAAACCAGGTCTCCTTGGCTTTAGACCAGTGGATGAGATTTAAGTTGTGCCTCTGACTGCTGACACTCTGTGTGACTTGGGGCCATCGATCAGGCCTCCCTGTGCCTCAGTTTCCTCATCAGTAAACCGAGCTGAATAAGATCTAACCACCCCAGGGCTGTGGTAAGGCTGAGATGGCTGACGTCAGAACCCGGCAGCCAGGAGCTGGTATTTTGAGAACTATACTTCCTCAAAATGACTTCAACAGAGAGGAGGGGGCCATCCCTTACACCACAAACCCAGGCCCTGGCTGTGGGGATGCCCCCTTAAACCAGTAACATACTGACTGCAAACTCCTCTGAGTTGCAGGAAACTGGGGTTTTGGGCCTGGGGGAACCACAGATGCAGGGTGAAGTCAGAGTTTTGGCGGGCATCTGAGCCCACTGTTTTCGCTCCTGAGTAAGCTCAAATCCAGCCTTTGCCCTTGACTTGCTGTGTGACCTTGAGAAAGAAGTTCACCAACTGAGCATCAGTTTCCTCATCTTTAACAGGGCCTTTCATTCCACGTTGATTGAGCATCTTCAGGCTGTGACTGAAGATATGAGATAGACCCAGTCTCTGCCTCTTGGAATTTTCAAACTAGTGGGTGAGGAAGAAATAGCAAGTAAAGGATATGATCGTTCCAGATGGTGACACATGGGACATGAAGAAAAGAGGGACCCTGGGGACAAGGAAGGCCTCTCTGAGGAGGTGACATTTGAGCAGAGACCTAAATGAAGTGAGAGGATGGTATTTGGGTGTCTGAGGGATGAGAGTGACAAGCAGAGGGACTAGCCAGCGTAAAGGTCCTGAGGTAGGAGTGTGTCTGATATGTTGGAGGAAAAGTAGGGGAGCAAGTATGGCTGGGACAGAGTGAACAGAGTTAAGTGGAAGGAAATAAGGCTGGGAGGTGATGGAGCAGCTTGTGTAAGGCCTCATAGGCTATGGTCAGGGTTGACTTTAGGCCTCAGTTTACATCTGACTGCCTAGGATGAGACAAAGGTCACCGGACTAGAAGAAAATTGAACTGTGAAGAGCCTAGTGATTCAAATCCCAGTTTCTGCAGACAGACAACTGGATTTATGATCTAGCTCTGCTCTTTTGGGGCTGGGTCACCTTGGCAAAGTTACTTCCCTTCTCTGGGCTTCAGCTTTCCCATCTCTGAAATGGGCCTGTAAGGACCTGATTCCCAAAGTCTGATGTGCAGGATCAGCAAAACAATGCAGGGAAGCCTGTGAATGGGTCAATGTGAATGTCCTTCCTTTCTGTTTGTACTTGAACCAAAGGGTCCTGGTGGCCAGTGCATAAGTCTTAGTGGGTTTAGAGCAGGAGTTCTCACCCAGGGGCAATTCTGTAGCCTCCCCCCACCGCCCCCTGCCAGAGGACATGCAGCAATGGCTGGAGACATTTTAGCTGTCATGATCGAGGGGTAGAGGCCAGGG